TGTTCATTTGCCACCCGGCTTCAAGACCCCTAAATTTGACAAGTATGATTGGCATGGTGATCCCGTTGCCCACTTGAAGAGGTATTGTAACCAATTAAGGGGAGCAGGAGGAAAAGAAGAATTACTCATGGCTTATTTTGGGGAAAGTTTGACAGGAATTGCTTCAGAGTGGTTCATATATCAAGATATATCTCACTGGCACGTTTGGAACGATATGGCTCAAGATTTTGTCCAACAGTTTCAGTACAATATTGATATAGTTCCAGACCGCTCCTCTCTCATCAACATAAAGAAGAAACCAACAGAAAGCTTCAGAGAATATGCAATCAAGTGGAGAGAGCAGGCTGCTAGGGTCAAACCACCAATGAAAGAGGCAGAAATGATTGACTATTTTCTCTAAGCTCACGATCCTGATTACCTGCATTACATGTTGGCCGCCATTGGTAATCCTTTCGCTGAGGCGATTAAGATTGGTGAAATAGTTGAGAATGGCATGAAGTCGGGAAAAATTGTGAGTCAGGCAGCCCTTAAGGCGACTAAGCAAGCAATTCAAATCTGGTCAGGCAGTTTCGGATATCGAAAAAAGAAAGAGGAAGGATCCATGATGGCATCTGGGTTCGGGGGAGTTCAAAGAGGAATAGTTCCTTCTTACGTGCAATTCCAACAAGGACAATCCAATTCTCCTCAACATTACTATCCACCTCAGGGTCCCTGGTACTCAGTTCCCCCACAACAATACATAGTGTTTAATGCTCAGGCTTATGCTAGGCCTCCCAATCACCAGCAATGGCGGACACCGATACCACAAGGTCCCCGTTAACTACGGCCGAATTTTCAGGCGCCATATAATCCTCATCCCCGACAGGAATATGTGAGAGAACAGGAGCCAAAGAAAGAGTTCACCCCAATTGGGGAATCATATATAAGCCTATATCGAAAGTTGATGCAGTTGAAGTTGATTGAACCTATCATGCCGCGTTATGTGAATCCAAATTCAAAAGGTTTTGACTCCAATGCAAAATGTGAGTATCACTCTAACACCAGGGTAATAGTACCGCAAATTTTTGGACATTAAAGAAAGCCATTGAAAATTTGATTGAAGCAAGGGCAATTGTGGTAACAAACAATGAGGATACTTCTAATATCACAAACAATCCGCTCCCAGCTCATGATAATACACATTTTATTGGGAAGATATTTGATGATCGAGATTATAAGCAGTCTGGCAAGACAGATATGGATGTTAGAACCATAGGGCAAGAACCAAAAGTGATAGTGAGCCCACCGCAATTGGCACCGTTGATTGTGAAAGGTGCGAGTTCTAGTTTGAACTTGGAAAGTTCTGAAAAAATGATTCTCTATGTCCCTGGAAGCACATAAAAGGTTGAGGTTCAATTGGGTGGGCCAAAACTTTACATCCCTGGGAGCATTCAAAAGATCGTTCCGAATAATAGTTTGACAAATATAACAGAGCCAGTTGTGATCTGACTTGTTGCATAAGTCCCAGTGACAAACACAAAAGCTATTCCCTGAAATTATAACAAGACTGTCATGACATAAGAGGAAAAGAGATAGTTGAAGAAATAGATGAAATAGGGGGTTTGACCCGCTCTGGAAGGTACTACTCACAAGAGGAATTGAGAAAAGCTAAGCAAGCCAGGGAAAGTCACTTGCCAGTGAAAGAACCCATTGTAGAAAAAGAAGCGAAGGAATTCCTTAAGAAGATGAAAATGCAAGACTACTCAATCATTGACCAACTAAGGAAAACCCCTGCTCAGATATCTTTGTTATCTCTACTTTTCCACTCGGAAGAGCATCGCCGTGTGTTGATCAAAACTCTGAACGAGGCATATGTCTCAGAAAAGACAACAGTGAATCAGCTAGAAAAAATGGCTGAAAGATTCTTTGAAGTAAATAGAATTACTTTCAGCGATGATGATTTGCCTAAGGAAGGGGCTGGGCACAATAGAGATTTGCATCTTATGGTGAAATGTGAAGGGCACTAGGTAAAATGACTCATGATTGACGGAGGCTCAAATGTAGATGTATGCCCTTTTTCTACTCTACAACAGCTGGACATTGACACTAACAGAATTTGGACTAGTAATGTCAGCATCAAAGCTTTTGATGGTTCAAAAAGAGACACTATTGGGGAAATCGAACTCACCATGACAATCGTCCCGGTTGATTTTAACATTGTCTTTCAAGTGTTGGATATGGAGACTTCCTATAATTTTCTTCTGGGAAGGCCGTGGATCCATATGGCCATATTTGTACCATCCACCCTACATCAAATGGTCAAATTCGAGTATGACAGGCAAGAAGCTGTTGTTCATGGGGTGGACGACTCATCCGTCTATAAAGACCTGTCCCTTCCATGTATCGAGGCCAAGGAAGGGTGTGAATCCATCATATATCAAGCTTTTAAGGTAATTGAGGTTGACCAAGTGGAATAAGGAAAACCAATTTTGCATCCCCGTCTTTCATCCACATCCATGATGGTAGCTGCGCTGATGTTGAGGAACGACTATGAACTAGGAAAAGGATTAGGATCCTTTATGCAGGGAATTGTGAACCTTATTGCTCCTTTTTCAAAGAAAGATACCTTTGGCTTGGGTTTTAAACCAACAACAGCTGACATAGACAGAGCCAAGGCTCGCAAAAAGAATAGTTGGAATTTGTCCAAACCAATCCCTCACATTGCCTACTCTTTTGTCAAGCCACAATTTGAAGAAGTCCAAAATCCTGCTACTCAGGATGACATTGATGAAGCTTGCCAGGGTCTCAAGGAGATGTTCTATGAGATCCATATGGTTCAAGTTGGTGAGGGCCCTAGCCGTGCAAGTATTCATTTTATTGGTCCAGATACCTCGCTAACAACCGGGAAGCAACTCCTCTTCCCATCAGGAAGGAGTCTTGGTAGTCTGTTTTGTTGCTTTTTCTATATTTGGATTTTTTTAAGGGTTGTAATCGAGATATTTTAGTTTAATTTCTTTGCTTTGATGTTAACCCTTCTATACTTTCTAATTCAATGAAATGAAGTTCCAATTTTATAGTAAAATTATGTCTTTTCATTTCCCTAATTTTTGTTAATTTCTTATTATTTTCAGTTTCGTTAATGCTGGTTTTAAAAACATGACATGCATGCGGAATTCATGCTGATATCTTAAAACGCTGTCTAATCTAGAAATAATGAATCAAGAAGTTGAGTATGATGAAGATGAGGCTCTTAAGGAAATCAAAAGGCAATTGGATCAATTTGAGAATAAGCCTAAGCCTAACTTAAATGAAACTGAGGCAATTAACCTGGGAAGTCCTGAAGAAACCAGAGAAACAAAAATAAGCATTCATACTGAATAAAATACTAGAGATGCCATAAATCAAGTTTTGTTCGAGTACAGAGATGTATTTGCTTGGTCGTATGATGACATGCCGGGTTTGAGTGCCGATTTAGTGGTTCATAAGCTTCCCACATACCCTAATTTTCCACCAATCCAACAAAAATAAAGGAAGTTTAAGACAGACATGAGTGATAAGATTAAAGAAGAAATCACGAAGCAACTAAGTGCAAATGTGATCAGGGTCGTCCGATATACTACATGGTTAGCAAATATTGTGCCGATTCCAAAGAAGGATGGGAAAATCAGAGTTTGTGTTGACTATCGGGATTTAAACAAAGAAAGTCCAAAGGACAACTTTCCCTTACCCAACATTCATATCCTTGTTGACAATTGTGCTAAACATGAGATCCAATCTTTTGTGGATTGTTATGCCGGGTATCACCAAATTCTGATGGATAAAGAAGACGTAGAAAAGATCACCTTCACCACTCCATGGGGAACTTATTGTTATAGAGTCATGCTATTTGGTTTGAAGAACGCAGGGAAAACTTACATGAGGTCCATGACTACCATATTCCATGACATGATGCACAAAGAGATTGAAGTGTATGTTGATGATGTGATCATTAAGTCCAGAACACAAGCTGACCATGTGCAAGACTTAAACAGTTCTTTGAAAGGCTACAAAGGTACAATCTCAAACTCAATCCAGCCAAACGCGCATTTGGAGTTCCTTGTAGGAAGCTTTTGGGTTTTATAGTTAGTCGAAGAGGCATTGTGTTAGATCCCTCCAAGATAAAGACCATTTGAGAGCTTCCATCCTCGAAGTACAAAACAGAAGTCATGAGTTTACTCGGGAGGTTGAACTACATCAGCAGGTTCATCATGCAACTTACAACCACATGCGAGCACATTTTCAAGTTGTTGAAAAAGAACGCCGCTATCAAGTGGACAAATGAGTGCCAAGAAGCTTTTGCTAAGATCAGGGAATATTTGTCAAAATCCCCCTATTTTGGTCCCGCCGGAACCTGGTAGCCCTCTAGGTTTATATTTGTGACTAATGGATAGTTCTTTTGGTTGTGTTCTGGGTCAACATGATGCCACAGGCAAAAAGGAACAAGCAATATATTATTTGAGCAAAACGTTCACCACTTATCAGGCCAAATACACTTTTTTAGAAAGGACATGTTACGCCTTAACCTGGGTCGCCCAGAAGCTTAGGCATTATCTTTTCGCCTATACAACTTACCTCATATCCCGAATGGATCCCCTGAAGTACATCTTTCAGAAGCCGATGCCAACTGGAAGATTGGCAAATTGGAAAATCTTGCTCACAGAGTTTGATATTGTTTATGTCACTCGCACTGCCATGAAGGCACAAGCTTTGGCTGATCATCTGGCAGAAAACCCGGTTGATGATGAGTATGAATCTTTGAACACAAAATCTTTGAGTATAAATTGCCCCAAGAGGTTAATTTAGTTGAAGAAGTAGTCCAAGATGACAGTCAAATTTGGAAACTATACTTTGATGGGGCTATTAACATCAAAGGCGTAGGGATTGGGGCAATTCTTGTATCACCTACTGGGCAACATTACCCTACCATGGCACGACTTCGTTTCTTCTATACAAATAACACGACAGAATATGAAACTTGCATTATGGGTCTGAACATAGAAATAAACCTAAATGCGCATGAACTGTTGGTGATGGGAGATTCAGATTTGCTTATTCGGCAGGCTCAAGGTGATTGGGAGACTCGAGACATCAAGCTCATTCCATATAGACAATGTGTGGAGGATCTTAGCAAAAGGTTCAACTCCATCGAGTTCAAGTACATTCCTAGGTTTTACAATGAACTAGCTGATGCCTTGGCGACCCTGGCCTCAATGCTTCCATATCCCGGTAATACTCACATTGACCCATTAGAAATTCAAATTCGGGATCAACATGGTTATTACAATACAATTGAAGTAGAACCAGATGGTGAACCATGGTACCGTGATATTAAACAGTTTCTAAAAACAAGAGAATATCTGGAACATGCTAATAGGAATCAAAATAGAACTATTAGGCGTCTCTCTAATGGTTTCTTTTTGAGTGTGGAAATCCTATACAAAAGAACTCAAGATTTGAATTTGTTGAGATGTGTGGATGCCAAAGAAGCTGAAATGATTATGAATGACGTGCATTCGGGAGTTTGTGGTCCGCACATAAATGGATATGTTCTAGCAAAGAAAATTCTTTGGGCAGGATATTATTGGCTTACTATGGAGTGAGATTGCTTTCATTTTGTTCACAAGTGCCACCAGTGCCAGATTCACAATGACTTGATTCACTCGCCGCCTTCAGAGTTGTATCCTATGTCGTCTCCTTGGCCTTTTGTTGCTTGGGGAATGGATGTCATTGGCCCAATCGAGCCAAAAGGTTCAAATGGGCACAAATTCATCTTGTTTGCAATTGATTACTTCACCAAATGGGTGGAAGCTATTACATTGAAAGCAGTTACCAAGAAAGTAGTAGTAGACTTTGTTCACTCCAACATCATCTATCATTTCGGTATTCCAAAAACTATTATTACAGATAATGCTGCTAATTTGAATAGTCATCTGATGAAGGAGGTATGTGAATAGTTTAAAATTGAGCATCGCAAATCTACTCCTTACCGCCCCAAAGCTAATGGATCTGTTGAAGCCGCGAATAAGAACATCAAGAAGATTCTTAGGAAGATGATCCAAGGGTCTAGACAATGGCATGAGAAACTGCCTTTTGCTCTTTTGGGATACCGGACAACTGTCCGTACATCAGTTAGCGCAATGCCCTAATTATTGGTTTATGGAACTGAAGCGGTCACACCTGCTGAAATTGAGATTCCCTCTCTCCAAATCATTGTTGAAGCAGGGATTGAGGACACTGAATGGGTGAAGTCCCGATTGGAACAATTGAGTTTGATTGATGAAAAGCATTTGGCGGAAGTTTGTTTTGGTCAGTTATACCAACAAAGAATGGCACGCGCTTACAATAAGAAAGAATGCCCAAGACAATTCGAGGTAGGACAACTTGTTTTAAAACGTATCTTTCTGCACCAGGAAGAGGCAAACGGAAAGTTTGCCCCGAATTGGCAATGTCCTTACCTCGTCAAGAAAGTATTGTCAAAAGGAGCTCTACACTTGGCAGATATAGAAGGAAAGGTGACAGATATATCCGTCAACGCAGATGCGGTCAAGAGATACTATGTCTGACATGGCTCTGTTGGGGCATTCTTATATTTAGCATTCTCAGGTTGGGATGACGAAAGGCTATCATTCTCGCTACCTAAACACTGGTCAACCCTAGTTATCCCTTTGAAGCCTTGTTTATATTTCTTTATTTTCCCCTCTTTTGGAACCAATGTACTTAAAAAAACTCAAAAAAACAAAAAATATGAAATCATCAAAACAAGTTCATGTTAATTGAACTACGTCCGACCTGATTCTGAAAGGATACGTAGGCAGCCTCACTCTGGGGTTCGGTCACACCAAAACAAGAATCCATATTTCCCCAGTATTCAAAGAAATTGAGGCATGGTTTTATTTTATTTTCGATGGTTGGTCCATCAAAATAGTTCCAAAAGTTGTAATTCAGTTGAATAGTTCTTTTTACCTTTCCCTGCTAAGACCTTCTGATCAACTTACGAGAATGCTACGTCAGTATACTACGGGTGATGCCTCAGCCATTGTAAAGAGAGAAAAATAAATGAGAGAGTCTTATTGGTGAAAACCCTCACAGGCACTATAAGGCAATAGTGAGTTGAGAGAAAAGCAAATGAGAGAGGTCAGTTGGTGAAAACCCACAAAGGGCATCATTGATCGATTTAGGTCTTCATATATCCTGGCACAAGCATGGTTAAGACAAAGAACTCAGTTTCAAAGTGAAGTTTATAATTAGATTTCGAGAATTAGATGGTTCAAACGGATCGGGCATCCAGTCCAAAGTGCATGTCATGTTCATTGAAGTCAGCATATTCCTCCAGATAAGTCCTTTCTTTTATTTTTCTTTTCCCTTGAAAGGGACACTTCTTGATTAAGTTGTAATACTTGTTAGTTCACTTTCTTTTTTTCTTTTGCATTACTTTCTTGAGTCCCTTTCAGTCTAATTTGTCAAAGCAAAGCAAAGAAAATACCGCAAAATTAGTTACAGTTTCCCCGTTATATAAAGCAAAGATTGCTGGGCATAAACTGTATGGGCATAGACATAAAGCCATCTGTGATTTTTCCTAGCGAGCAAAAGGCTTGAAGGACTGAACAATTCTTCAAGGTTCAACAAAAGTTACTCCGTTAAAAGTTGTTTTGGGAGCAGGGTTGTTTGCATCATAAACACAAGTGGTGATAGGCGCAAAAAAGTTTGGTTTTGATGTTGAGAAAGAAGATCTCCAGAAAGTAAAGACAGAATCTCCCGGCGATTCGTACGACCATCGACAAAGTCAACTTTTCTAACAAGTGTAATGGACTCGAGGTCAAGTGACCCAAGAAATGAAGGCCACAAACTGACCAGCATTTTAAAACTAACGAATATGTCTTTGTTCAGAACATAAACATAATAGTTTTAGGAAACAGTTCGTGAAAAGACGAACACCACCAAGTGAAGTTCTCAAATACTTGATTTCCTTCCAATATACATGTAATCATGTTATTTTTAATTTCATTATAGGGAATCAATACCCTATCTTCACCTCAGGGTACTACATCCCCTGGTTGCATTTCTTATTATTAACATAGGGTACGACATTCCCTAGTATCATCTCAGAGCGCCACATGCCTCATCGTTTTGCCAATACAAGGTACTACATCCCCTGGTCGCATTATGTTTTGCCTACATAGGGTACGACATTCCCTAGTAGCATTCCAGAGTGTCACGGGCCTCATCTTATCACCAATACAGGATACTACATCCCCTGGCTGCATTACTTTCTGCCAACATAGGGTACGACATTCCCTAGTAGCATCCCAGAGTACCACGAGCCTCATTTGTATTGCCAACATAGGGTATGACATTCCCTAGTAGTATCTCAGAACGCCATGAGCCTCATCTTATTGCCAACACAGCGTACTATATCCCCTGTCTGCATTACTTTCTGCCAACATAGGGTACGACATTCCCCAGTAGCATCCCAGAGTGCCAAGAGCCTCACCTTATTGCCAATACACGGTACTACATCCCCTAGCTGCCTTACTTTCTGCCAACATAGAGTACGACATTCCCTAGTAGCATCTCAGAGTGCCACGAGCCTCATCATATTGTCAACACATGGTACTACATCCCCTGGTTGCCTTCCTTCTTATTAACATAGGGTACGACATCCCCTATTATTCAAAAAAAAAAGAAACCCGTGTCTTTTTTCAATTCTTTATTCTGCAATAGCAAAGATAGTTTATTGTATTTTCAATAACTCACAAAACTTTTCTAGTGCAAACTGGGGCAGAAAAGTTTTGTTCATTTTGTTTGTTTATGATGGCTTGCAGGTTTTTCTGCAAAGTATGAATTGGATATGCAAGAAAAAACTCTAACTCTTGCCAGAGAAAGTGGAACGTTTGATCTCAATACCAGCCGCAACCAACTTTGACGTAATGCATGCGGAGACATAGGGTCTCAAGATCCATCTTCTCATCATCTAATCAAGAATCAAGCATCGGAGAATATTTCATAGTTTGTTACATCGAGAGAATCAAGTTTTAGTCTAAAGTCAATGGGGGAAGCAAGTCAAGAATCAAGACAAGACTCCAGATGGCATTTAGATAGAAATTTTGTAACTCTTAGATTTCAAGAGTATGTAAATTTTTTATTTTTTATTTATTTTTTTTTATTTTTTTGATGTAATGGTAGGAGTTGCGGATCGGAACCTCGACAGAACTTCACTCGACTCTCCCTCTAACTATACTCCTTAAATCTTCTTCCACTTGAACTACACGTGACATGATTCCCTTATAACCCGGGATATATAGGTTGCCTAAAACCAAGGCTCAGTCACATCTTTTTCATTTATCTTATTTTCCTTTTTAAATAATAGTGAGGTAAAAAATCAGTCACCTTGTTCAGTTTCTTTGCCTGAAAACTCTTCATGTTTCCGAACAAAGAGGGGCATGTTGTGAACACCTAATTTTTCACCACACCTTGATTCTATATTATTTTAGTGTAAATATATTTTCTAGATCTAATCCTGATATTTTAAACTTTTATTTTAGTTTTAACATGTTTTATTTGAGAAAAGTTAAAAATTACAAAAAAATATTCACATGCTTATAGTATAAATCTTATTCCTATTTATAAAGAGAAAAAGGAAATTTACAAAAATATATGGTTTCTTTAAATTAGAATTATAATAAATAAGTTAGCTTAGCTTTAGTATATTTTGGGTGTCATTTAAATTATAGTGTAAATATTTAGTTTGCCTATATTATTTTAGTCTAAAAATTAGGTAGTTAATTTTTTTTATCTTTATATTTTATCGTTTAAAGAAAAACAAAAAGTAAAACAAGAGAAAAAAAACTAAAATAAAACCAAAAGATTAACTCATATCTAATCTAACTAATCACTACCTACACACACCACTCCTCACGTCCCAACCCCCATATCGCCATTTCCTTCACATACACACACACACGATTCCCCACGTCCCCACTCTTCTTTTCTCATCAACACACACATTCTATATATAGCTCACACACTTCACAAATAAGAGGGGGAAGATCAGAGAAGAAGGAAAATAATGAGAGTGAGGGACATGATAAAGACTTGAGGAAAATATTTTATTGAGTTGAGAGTTTGAAAAATATTTGGCTTCTTCATTTCTTTAAAGAAATTTTAGAAAGAAAAATGGAGTTTGAATAGAAGCAAATATTCAGGTGGACGTTTGGCTAATCCTTTGGTTCCGATTCCGAGTTTTTGTCTCCTTTGGCTGCTGTTTTTCTCATTTGAAAATTTTGAAACTGAAGTTTGTACGTACCAGTTTTTATTAGTATTGGTAAAGAAGCTTCACATTACATGTTTTCTTCTAATCTTTTGTTTAATCTATTTTAATGTGTTTGTTGGAACATAAACTATAAATAGCTATTTTATAAGAATTAAGATCTATTATGAAGTTGTTGTGTTGCTCTAGTTTATATCTCATTTATTATCCGAGTAGTATTTGAGTTTTTATTTTTCTCTTAATCCCTGTTGTATATTTAAAATATTATTTCTTGAATCTTAAGTATGTAAGTATTTTCTATTTACTGTTTTGGCTAAAATATTTTCTTAAATATTTTTTGTGTTAAAATAATATTATTGGTAAATGGGTAAGAATAGTTCAAACAATAAAGTTATATATGATGCCATTAAATTTATTAATAAGAAGTACTGAAGCTAAAAATCAAGTCCATCATGAGTTTTTATTTTAAGCCTATTAATTTGCGGTAATACCACTACTAAAAAGAAAAATAGTTTTACTTCCCTTCAAAAGTTCATGTAAAATCCTTGTAGTCTGTTTTGGGTTTGAAGTTTATTTGAAATTTTCCTTTTATGTGTTATTTTGAATTTTTCTTTTTCTTAAATTTTTGCAAAAGACTCACGTTACAAGTTTCAATGGAAGGTTGTGATATTTCCATTGATTAGTTTTCTTAGTTTTACATTGATCGCTCTTCCAATGTGACTAATAGTGAATATCTTATTTGGTTCAATTTGTAATGTGATTTATTTTAATATTCTTTTATTTTATCATGCTTGGATTAAAAATGGGTTTATGGGAGAGTACAACTCATTGAGCCATTTCAAGGATTGTATATATATAAAAAATAATTGTAAGGGAGCGAAATAAGCCATAAACTAATTCAAGACTTGTTCCAATAAGTAAAAGAAAAAAAAATACAAATATATATCTCGAATCTAAAAGAGACAAAATAATTGAAATACTCTAAAACGCTAAAAAAACCTTAGATGTACTTTAAATGTTAGCACATGTGTTCATACCCGAACCTTGGATTGATATTCTTAAGTGATAAAAGGATCATGTGCGCATTCTCGCGTCTTGATATCATTAAATAATTACGTTTTAACCATGTGTACATTTCGTACCTTGGTTTAACATCTAACTTCAAAGAAATACCTTATGTGTGTATCGCATCTGGGACCAAACAATTAATAAAATTTAATAATTAGTTAAGTGGTAATAGGCAAACCATAATCAATAAAATACAAGAATAGCCAAGAATTAATTTAAGCCGGACAT